CAGGATTCCGGTCTAGTACAATCAATTAGCATATAATAACTGGTAATAATTGCATTAGAAGTGTAGTGAATAAACGATGCGTACTGTGTTCGAGTCTCACCATTTGAGGTATAGGTACATCCAGACGATGGGTGTCGAATAGGAAGGAAATGCACTTCCTAGACTTCAGAGTTAGACACTATCAAGTAAATCGCATCAATTTTTTTTTATCTCAAATCATTGTCTTGAAATCTGTACTAAGAGCTGTCATGTCAATAGAGATTGACCATTTACGTCTGATTAAAACTGCCAGTTGAGTCCGGTACCTTTGAAATATAAACGTAACCTGGTAAATTGTCTGGTTCACAGAGCTAGGTTAATCTGTTCAGACGACTGCCTCAATCAGGAGCTTAAGATTATTAGAGAATTACTTAGAAAAAACATCGTTATCCAGATAAATTCATTGAGAAAAATATGAATTCAGCATCTAAGAGAAACAGTATGGCAACAGTTCCGAAACAAAAACCAATGTTCATAAAACTGCACTTCTTCGGTGACAACATTAGCGATCACCTGAAGAATTCAGTTAAAAGAGCTTAGTATGCAGTAGAGAGAGGTACGTTGTCTCTTCAAAACCACACCTATTCCACGTTCGAGTAATAAGGATAAACTACCTAGATTCGCCTCCTCCTCCTCTATGTGTATCTACCAGTTTGACTGCAGCTGTGGAGCAAGCCAGATACATTGGGCGTACAATTAGACAGGTTCATCATCGTATTTCTGAACATCATCCTGCAGCATGGTTAAGCGAGGGACAAACAAGATCTATTCGTAGGTAGCTCTATTTTATCACACCTTGTAGATAGTGAGCATAAGGTTGACGTTAATACAGCACATTTAAAATCATTTATCGCCTTCCTACGAGTTCGCCTTCTACAGACAGCTGAAGCAATAGGAATCCACCTGAAGAAGCCAAACCTATGTGTGTTCGGAAGAAATTTGTACAGCCACTTTCCTTACCTTCCTTGGCCATGGTGACATGAATGTAGAAAGCGGACTACTTCGCCTCTCCTCCCCCTAATCCTTTAAAATTATAAAAATTATAATTGCCCAAATTATTTTGTCATTTTTTCTGAACACTTCATCTTTAATTACGTGTTATGCTTGTAAAATTAATTTATTCTAACAATTTCTACCTTTTAATTCTGTGCTCATTGATTTTCTTCTTTAATTATCACCAGAGCCTTGACATTTCGACACTGACTGACTAATTATTGTTAACAAACATATCAGTGCCACTTGGTTGATAAGTTTTTGTGTATTGTAATAAAAATGCTATATGGACATGTATTAGAGTAGAACCAGAGTGAGGAGAGGGAGGATCTAATTGAAAAGTAAATATTTCTTCTCTCACTCAATCTTTTTTTTCGATTACAGCTTGATTCCACACTGTATTTTTGGTACAAGTATGGAATTTTCAGCGTGGATGTCGGTAGCCCGAAATTCGCAGGTCGACCACAGATATCAGGTGTGCGTCGGCGAGGGCTCGAACCCCGGACCACGTGCATGGTCGGCAAAAGTCCTAACCACTTTGCCACCGACGCAAACTTTCTAAATGTCTAAATGGGGATTTTTTCTATGTAGCAAAATAATAGCTGGTTGAATGAAGTTAGTATAGTAAAATATTTTTTTCTTTCGTGTTAATTCTAGTGTTTTTACAGTTATAAATATACTACTTTCTAACTGAGTTTCAATGTAGAACTTTACTCAGAAGTCCAGCAGCTCAAGCTGCCAGACTCCATGTAACACACAAAGGTAGAAAAAAAAAGAGATTCAGGGGAACAGTAGATCACAAATAGTGAATTCATCTGCACCATTAAAGCCACTTTCAAGCCATATAACCGATAGTCTCAAGTCATCAGTTCTCAGTACCCAGAAAACCTCGAACCAGTCAGTCCACACCTCTCTAAGTAGCTTAAGTCAGTTGTCGAATACTTCATAGACTGATGCCAAATTTCGATTTGACCACCCCTACCTAACCATTTTCCAAACCAGTCATGTTTCGGCTAACACTGTTTAACCGGGGGTGGGGGGTTGGTGGGGGGGGCAATGACTCCACCACAAGCACATTAAGTATCCTAACTATCTCAATCGGTGTAACTTCACAACTTTTTATCAACTGACTTACCTTCGTTATCTAACACACTCCACACATATCCTCAATATTATTGTATATTATAAATATTCCCATAGTAAAATTTAGCAGAACACATTTAAGCGAACAATATTGTACTTTCAATTATATCTCATCAAGCTTAACTCTAATATATATAATTTTACAAATAAAACACAAGTATAAACCAATCATGGTGTTTGTCTATAGGAGAATACGACGGCGAATATAAATTGTGCAATTAGTCATAATGCGTCGGTGGCATAGTGGTTAGGACGCTCGCCGACCATGCACATGGTCCGGGGTTCGATTCCCGGACGGCGCACTCCTTTACCTCGCTGAGCCAGAAATAATGCTGGTAAAGAGGAAAGGTTGGGCATGAGGCTAGCAACCCCATCCTATAAAATAAACACTGTTACAGAATCTTCAGGCCACTAGCTTGAAGCCCTATGTTCCACTGGGGAACGTGAAGGAATAAAAAAAATTAGTCATAATAGTAGTAATGATAATAGTAATAATAATAATAAGCCTATATTTATTAAGTTACAATTCAATGGTGACTTATCAAGTGAAATTTCGTTCCAAAGACTTTCAAGGAGTATACGAAAAACATTTTATGCAGCGCACCTATGTTTGTCATTCTCTAGCCGACGAATCATTGGGACGCAAACGAAGGATAGATAGCTAGATAGTTTTGCCACATCTATGTGCATTTGTCAATTCAACTGCACCTGCGGTGACAATTACAATTACAATCAGACAGCTTAGCCAGCGTGTCACTATTGAACATCTCCCATCGTGGTGGTTTGGCAGAGAACAGATGAAAACAATCCATTGCTCAATTTTGTCACATGTAATTCATAGTGATCATGTAGTGGAGAAACCGAGAGCTTTCAAAGTAATTCATCGTATCCCACCGCATCTTTCCAATAGGCTTCGTATTCGTCTACTGCACACAGCTGAGGCAGGCGATAGACATTCGAACTATTAAACCTAAACGACGCATTTAAAAGAAGTTCGTTTAGCTATTATCCCTCCCTAGCTTGGCCTATTAAGACATAACCAACTAATGACTTCTACACCACCCCTTGTTTATATTTTCAACCCCTCATTTCTTATCATCCCTTAATCTTATCACATCTTCATTATAAGCGTGTTTCATTTACTTCCCTTACAATTTAGCATTACTTAATGGGTTCATTTGTTCTTACTAGCCTTTATTGACTACTACGCCTACGTGAACCTTTCTTTGTTTAATCATACTGTTTTTCATTATTCGTGTTATCACAGATTGCCTCACTTTTTCATCCTTATTATTGATAAAACCATTATTATTACTACTAATACTATTATTATTATCATCACTACTATTGTGAGTAATTGCACAATTTATATTCACCATCTTATTATCAATATTATTGATCATATTACATCATTTAACACCGTAAGTCGAACATACTTTAAATGACCACGTCTCACAGCTATTAAATAGGACAAAGTGAACTGCTACGCAGTTTATATATATCATTTAATCGATTACTGGATATCACTTCTACGCTAGAGACAATATAAGTTACCGCACATTAAAAGGTGATTTGGCAACTACTTTGCTACTACGGGGTGCCGCCAACAATTATACATCTCATACAACAGTTGTACGACAATGCTGCATGCCAAATAATCCTCGACGGGAAACTTAAGGAATCCTTCGAAGTGAAGACGGGAGTGAGACAGGCTGGCTGGCTACCTACTATCTCCAATGAATAATTTCCTGATTTTGATAGACTGGATAATGCGACAGGCAGACAGTGGGCCAAGCAACGAGGAGACAGCCATGAAATGGACCCACACAAAAAACTTGGAGGATCTGGACTTCGCCGATGATAACATATGTCTGATTTCTCACAAACTGAAAGATATGCCAGTTAAAAGCAACAAGTTGGCAGAAGAAGCATCAAGGATAGGACTCCAAGTAAATATTGAGAAAACAGAGGTGATTTTGAAGATTCCTGGCTAACAGAAACACCAGCAACAACAACGACAACAGACAACAATCAGTCAGCATAAGTGGGAGGAACCTGAAAGAGACAACCTCCTTTATCTACCTACCCAGGAAACATCGTTTCAACTATAGACGGAACTGACGAGGATATCAAAGCATCGAGGATCGGGAAAGCAAGACAAGCCTTTATTACTACCAACAACACTACTCAGCATGAAAAATAAGATCCGGATTCTCATCTTTAATGTGAAGTCAGTGCTACTATACGTATCAGAGACTAGGCCAGCGCGTCATACAGAGCACCTCAAACAAACTACAGACCTTCATTAATAGTTGTCTTCGCTCAATACTCAAGGTCAGATGGCCGGCTAGAAAAGATCAACAACGGGGATCTGTGGGAGCGAACCAACCCAGCAGGAACCGATTGTGCAACAAATATGCAGGAAGAAATGGAGGTGGACTGGCCGTACTCTGAGGAAGCCGTCAGGTGACACCACTAGACAAGCCGTCGCTCGAGTGGAACCCGAAAGGGAAGCGGCGAGTCGGATGTCAATGCAAGGGTGACTTGTAGGATGTCATGTGAAGAGGAGATGAAAGCATGTGGACAGACTTGGAGCCAGGTGAAAAATCTAGCGGAGAACCGAACGCAATGGAGACGAGGGCGGTTGAAGCCCTATATTCCTCTAGGAATTAAAGGAAGTAATAATAATAATAATACACAAACCTCTTGTATCCTTGCTGAAGTGTCATGATCAATCAGTTCATTTGGGTCGAATACACTTTCTTCTCAGATAAATGAAATAATTGATCAACACTAACACTCTACCTGTCAGACAGTGAGTAAATAAACCAAATAAACAACAAATTTACTTGCATTTATACACATACAAAAAAAGGTACAAGATTATTTACAAATCTATAAAGATTATTTATCCTCTTCAATGCCTTTATTAGTAGATAACAAGGCTTAACTAGTCAATTAGAGACAGGCAGAAACATCAAGGAAGACAATCATTAGTCATAGACAAACAGAAAAAACACTTGTCCACTTTCCAATAAACCTAATTTCTGGTTGTTTTAACCAACCTTCATGGATCTTTTACTCCATTTTCCCTTTCCTTATATATATATATTTCATGACTGTTGGTGATTTCCAGCTTTCACGTTTGAGTATATTTCAGTGAATTGAAACATCTTTTTTTATTTAATATACATACGTATACTTATGATTTGTAAATTATATCATAGGGATAGAATTCGTATACAGCATTATTTTTTATGTCGAAACGTACACCGGGTTTATTATTATTGTTATTAGAATTCATTCTGCCAGTGGAATGTGGTTCCTCAGGAGTCAATTTATTCTTTTGTACTGATGATTTTGGTCTTATCCAAACTTTATTATTATTAACTGTTGTACTACTCATCTGATTGTTGACATTATCTGTAGACAATACGGATTTCCACGCATAATTATTAGCTGAAGACGGTCTTCTACTAATGAACTCATTCTGTACATTGTCATTCAGCACATTTGATGCTCCTGGTATACTCATTATCTTTTCTGATGATATAATATTTGTTGTATAGGGTTTTATAAAACTTTTAGAACGTTTAAGTATTGATTTTATAGGTTGAGTAGTGCTCATAGTAATGGTACTAGTGTGTGTAGTAGTAGTAGTACAATAAGACCATTTATCATCCATATATGATAGATGATGCTGAAATGATGAAGGTGATACTGTGAATGATGATGATGGCGATGGTTGTAATTCAAGATTGTTCGAAGTAGATGAACACGCGGGTAGTTCATTATGTATAGATAGATTTTCAACTTCATTATTTGAAAAGATATCATTGGATTGTTCATTATTATTTTCACAAAGTTTTGTTTCACTTATCTGGTCAGATTTTTCATTCATCAATGTGTTTAATTCATTTGAATTTTGCTCTTCAAGTGATTGGGTTACACTGACTTTCATCAGATGGTGGGATGAATCTAGACGTAAAAATTCATCCTTATCTGAAAATGTCTGAAGTTGTGTAGTTTCCGTTGAAGTGTTATCTTTGCTTTCAGCATCTTTGCATGGAGTTACGCCTTCTTCACTTATTTTCCATTCATCCTTCTGGAAGGAATTTGATATATCTGTGTGTAGGATAGGTGTAGGATAGCTCTGGTAGTCAGCATCTTTCAGAGTTACCTGTATTTGTTCTTCAGATAGTAGGGATTGTATTTCTGATTCAACCGAATGTTTCGTGATTCCTTCTACTTCCTCGTCCTTATTATAATTATTATCATTATTATTATCATGATCGGATACATCGTAATCTATCTTATCAGTAGTCACTGTAATTTCATATGTATCATCTTTCAGTGTAGTGTATTCTTCAGTCGTCTCACTGAGACAAGATTTCTTTGGGTTGTCTTCAACTTTCAGAATCGTTTCAGTCTTCGGTTGAATAACTGTTGCACTTTTAACACTTTTAAATGGTGTTGAATTTACCTCGTTGTCGGGATGATTTGTCTCGATAGTCTGTTTAACTACTTTCTTATCATACTGGTATAATGATGCAGTTCTGTCAGTATCCAACTGTACCACTGGTATTTTATTCGGTTGATGTTTATTCGATGTTATAACCGATGTAGGTTTAATCGATCTACGCTGAGGTGTTGGATATTTGAAATATTTAACATTTTGAAAAGATAAGGGGATAACAGATAAAGACGATGATTGATTCGATTTTGTTGTTGAGGCTTTTTTACGTGTGTCATTCTCTTGAACTGATGGTGCAGGCTGATGCATAGGTGATGACGATGGATAACTCACTTTCCGTGTACTGTTTAGTGGTATAAATTCATTCCCAGTGCTTAATGCACGATTATATTCTTGTTGACCACTGCTTACCTTGAAATCATTGATGAATTTATTTGTATATCTATAGGATTTATCATCTACACATGCTGATGATGCCCTTCGAATTGGTTTGGGTGAAGTGTGTTGTGAAGTTTCAGAAAGTGTAGTTGTAGTACGAGCTTTTGGCGCTGATCGTCTTCTTGTAGATAAGCTATAATAATTATTATTGTTGTTGTTACTAATCATGGATTTCCTATTTACACCTTCATAGACCAAAGGAGTCGTAGATCTTTCATGCAGTGGGCATATTTTACCGCTACAATCAATAGCGTTTGATTGTTTCACAGTTGGTGTGTTTGTACTCTGTAGTAAAGAGGAGAATGAACACTCTCTGGAGAGATTGAGACAAGTACTGCTTGATCTTCTAGCAGATAAAGGAGGTACCATATTCATATATGATAATGTTCTATCTATTGATGATGATGATGCTGGTGATTCGTGTGATGTAGTCCTTTGCAAAGATGTTGATCGTCCAATTGTAGCTGCTGAATGTGGTCTTGTCAAATAGTAAACACGTAACGAACCAAGTGGACGATTTCTATTCCCATAAATCGATTGCAAGTTATTCATTACTGGTCGAGAACAGATTTGATGAAATAAATTATTACAATATAATTGTGGATTACATGGTTTCATACCTGAAGCATCTTGAAATTCTATTGATTTCGACTGAAAATTGATTGTATTTTGAAGTACACTTTTATTATCAGTAGAAGAATTCAATTGTGACGAGGTTAAATGAGCATTTACAGGCGGTGTTTGTGAATTATTCCATTGTTCATTTCGATTTAAATTTAAACTTGACTGTTGACTTGTATAACGTATATCGCTTACAACTGGTTTTATATCGCTTGTTTTAGTGATAACAGAATTTGGATGGTCTATAAATGATTTCCATAGTTTCTCATTCCACCATGTTACATTTTCCATTATTCAATATCATTTACTACTTTTGTTAAATTATTATGACTATTTTTCAAAATAATTCCCAAAATGATGTTCATAGAAAGCATAAAAGTATGCATAAAAGCTTGTTGAATATATTGAGTGGTTTCAGTTGTTAAAATAAAAAATTAAACATTTTTAATTTTTTCATCATTTGGATTTGTTGTAGATTAGATTAACTCAAACAAAAGTAAGCAGGAGAGAAATAGAAAAATAGAGAGAAAAATTAAAGGCCTACCACCTAATGAGTGTCCTACAAATGTGACCTGAGTTTCAGTAATTATGTTTCTTTTAAGTATATTGATTAGGTACTTACACCATTCATCTAAGTGATTATAACTTAGTGCCAATAAGCAAGCAGGTAAGCAAGTAAATGAGCAGACGAGTGAGCAGGTAGACAAATACGCACACACACACTAAGTGATAAACAAATAAAATTATCTTATGACAAAATCAAAAACACTAATAATTTTCAAACTTTTAACAGTGTTCATACAACTACCTTCTTATAAGTTTGTAGTATAATTTTTACCAGCGAATTATTGCCCGCATTAAGAATCACTCAATAAAAAAAACGCACAAATAATATGCAAAGCAAGGAGGAGGGAGATTTTGTGCAAACATATAATTATATATTTCAGTTATCAAATAAACGGATAGATGAAGTGTGTGTGTGTGTGTGAGTATATATGTTTGAATAAGTGAACGTAGAAGAACTGGTGGAATAAGTAACGCTAATGCGTCATGTGTAGTCTAGACTTGGAGTATTTGTCCTGAATGGAGCCTATTATTTATATTTGGATAACAGTCACGAAGCTAAACAACTCGTCATTGCAGTACCTGTTTTGAATTAATGTTGAGTGAAGGTGAATGAGTGGAAGCTCTGGATCTAGGTTTATTACTGTGGATGGCAATCGTCGGTAAAGCGTTTCTTTATGTAGTGAACTGACGTCCATATTAAAGTTCGAGTCTCAATCAGACGGTTGGAGTGTGTGGTGAGGGCAGGATATTCAAAAATGGTAGACAGCATTTTACGTCAGTGGGTAGAAAATATGTGCGTCGGTGGCACAGCGGTTAGGACTCTCGCCGACCATGCACATGGTCCGAGGTTCGACCCCCTGCCGACGCACACCTGATATCTATGGTCGGCCTACAAAATTTGGACTACCGATATCCATGATGAAAATTCCATACTTGTACCAAAAATACAGTGTGGAATCAAGCTGTAATAAAAAAACAACCAATCACAGCACACTTGGCGTAGACAGATACAGTTAACATATAGATGACCTGACATTCAAAAAATAGCCACAAAGAGATGAATGGTCAACTTTCTGTAAGAAACAACCAATCAGAAGACTATGTTTGTCTGCTCGAATAAGCTATAATAATGTACATGAAATGTGTATAAATACGTGTTGATTTCCTTGATAAACGATCTGTTGCCTGACTCTTGCCTTTTTCGTTATAATTGGCGTCGCTGCCTCCGAGAAACGGTGATCTCATGGCCAACTGCGTTTGAAGAAGGAGGCATACGGAGCTTCTTACGTGACTTCAAGGCCGTCGCTGAGCTGGTAGGTGTCAAGGGGCAGGCGGCAAAGGCGGTTGTCATGGGGACGCTGTTGAGAGGCCGAGCGAAGGCAGCGTATGACAGCGTGGACAGATCAGGTGGCACGGCGTCTTGGAAGAAATTAGTGGAACGATTGGTGTCGGAGTTTGACAGCACGACAGACAGACAGCTAGCAATGCAGCAGTTCCATTCAACGAGACTGGGACCTGATGGAGGCCCGTTAGTGTTGGCGGTGAAATTGACGAATCTACTTCAACGTTTGCTTCCCACTTTGAATGAAGAATCAGAAGCGCAGTTACTGTCTTCCCAATTCATCAAGACTGTCCCAGACCACATTTCTCAGCGATTACAACTGATTAACGCAACGCAAACGATGGATATTAGTGAGCTGGCGAGGGTGACCAGACAGCCGCTGAGCACAGCTTTAGCCGCTATAGAGCAACCAAAACCAAACGAATACGGGCAGAAAATTGAAGCGTTGCAGCAGGAAGTGGCGGTGTTAAAGTTGGGTGATAGAAAAGAAAGATGTTTTGAATCCCGTAAGTCGGGACACTGGAGGAGATACTGCCCAGAAAGGCGAAAAAGAAAAAGTTTCAGACGGTATAAAACGTCTTCTTTCTCTCGTATAAAACTAGATGTAGTAGGGGCTATTGAGAAAGGGGCTGTGTATTCGAAGTTGCGAGTGAATGATCAAGAAGTAGTGTGTTTAGTAGATACAGGGGCGGCCGCGTCGTTAATAGATGAGAACATATGTAAGAGTGTTAGTCCGTGTTCATTGACAGTCCAAACAGTAGGGGGGTATGTGTTGCGTATCACGGGTAGATCGAACTGTACGGTCGTTGTTGGCGGCTGCGAGGTGACGTTTTCTTTCATTGTTGTACCCGAACTACAGCGAACGATATTAGGAGCGGATTTTCTGCGTGAGATTGGTGCAATAATCGACACGCAAGCGAACGTGGTGATCACGAAATACGGGCATATCAACATGTATGAGACCAGCGAGATAGCAGCGATTAAGCTGTCGACGGTACACAATGTGACAGAGTTAATTAACAAATACGATCATCTGTTCACTGGAGATGGGGACCCATACGGTTATTGCGATAAGGTGAATCATGAAATTCCGTTAAGTGATCCAAAAGTAAGGTCATTTACAACGCGAAGAGTTCCATGTCATCTGGAAGGCGAAGTGGAGCGACAAGTGCAAGAGATTTTAAAAGATGATATTATTGAGGAAGCTGATAGCCCGTACAACTCTCCAGTGCTGTTAGTAAAAAAAGCGAATGGGAAGTATAGATTCTGTGTTGATTTTCGACAGTTAAACAGTATGACAGAGTTAAGACCGTGTGCCATGCCAACAGTGGTAGAAACTTTAGATCGCCTACAAGGCGCGAATGTGTTTTCGGTTCTCGATCTTCGCTCAGGATACTGGCAGATACCGATAAAACAAGGTGATAGAGATAAGGCGTCATTCATCGTGGGTCAGACACAATATCGATTTAAACGCATGCCGTTTGGACTAGCAGGTGCACCGTTTACGTTCAGACGACTGATGAAGCTATTACTTAAGAACTTGAAAAACGTGGAGGTTTATGGTGATGATCTCGTCATATACAGTCAAAACGAAAACGATCACGTCAACCATGTAGAAGCCGTGCTGCGACGCATCGAAGAGTTTGGACTACGCGTCAACAAAACCAAGTCTCAGATAGCCAAAAAGAATGTTACTCTGTTGGGACATAAAGTGGGAAATGGTGAGATTAAACCACTGCCGGAGAAAATTTTGACGATTAAAACGATTCCAGCCCCGAATTCAAAGAGAAAACTGAGACAATTCTTGGGTAGAGCAGCGTTTTATAGTCGCTTCGTGAAGAACTTCAATGAGATAGCAGCCCCTCTATACAGGCTACTAGGTGAGCCAAAGTTTGTTTGGTCGGAAGAATCGCAGAGGACATTCGACAGAATTAAACAGCTGCTCGACCACCAACAAATGACGCTAAAACTACCTGTACCTGGAAGACAGTTCACAGTGTGCACAGATGCCAGTGACTACGCTATAGGTGCGGTCCTAAGACAGGACGAGGGAATCGTTGAGTATGCCAGTAGGGTTTTGACACAAGAGAGAAAGTATTCAACGATAGAGAAAGAATGTTTAGCAATGGTATGGGCAGTCGACAAATGGAGACCTTATTTACTCGGCCGGCGGTTCCACATCGAAACTGATCATAAGCCGCTACAATTTTTGAAGACAGCGAGAGACCCACGGGGGAAGTTGTCACGGTGGATGTTGCGTCTTCAGGAGTACGATTTTACGATCTCACACGTTCCTGGAAGTGAAAATGTCTTGGCAGATTTGTTATCGAGACCAGAAGATGAGTCTGAGTTGCCCGAGGTCGCTTACGGAGTGCATGCAGTAGAACAAGACCCACTAAGACTTGCACGTAGGCAGAGGTTGGACGATACGCTGAATACAGTAATACAGGTGATCACCAACGGAATAGAAGTGGATCAAACTACGGCGAGTAAGGAGCTAACCACACTACTCAGACAGAGAGATCGACTCAGAGTGAATGCCTACGGGACTCTGACCTGGCGAGAGAACGACGGAAGCTGGCTGGCTGTCATACCTCAATCGTCGCGCCACGACATGATAGAAGAATGTCACCAGCTAGCACATACAGGCGTGTCCAGAACAATCGACCTCCTAAGACAAAGTATGTACTGGCCAGGTATGAGAGAAGACGTAGCAAGATACGTACTTGGATGTCCACGGTGCCAGCTGATGAAAGGTGACCGGTGCATACGACCACCGCTTCAGTCGATTCCAGTTACCGCGATAGGTGGCTTGCAGTCCGTAGATGTCATGGGTCTATTTCCTTAGACATCCAATGGTGATCAGTACCTCTCGGTGATGACGGAACACCCGACACGATGGGTAGACGCCGTAGCGATCCCCGACCAACGTGCAAGGACCACGACAGATGCAGTAGCTAGACACATCGTTGCAGACCACGGCGTACCAAAGACAAAACTGACAGACCAAGGTCCCCGTTTCAAGGGTGAAGAATTTACTTCCCGTTTGCAACAGCTGGGCATCATGAGGATCAGAACGAACCCATATCATCCACAAACGAATGGCCTGACGGAGAGAAACAACCGTACACTGAAGGAGTGGCTGGCCTCGAAGGGTGGTAACTGGAAAACGGAACTTCCACTGATTTTACTAACACATCGTGCTGCCACTCAGGAAACAACGAATAAGTCACCCTTTCAACTGATGTATGGTAGGAAACCACGATTACCGATACACAAAGAGACGTGACCCCTTCACCAAAAGTGGGGTACGACGAAATTAAAGGCAGAGCGGAAATAGGCAGTCAGGAATGTAATGCAGAAGCAGCGGGGTGATGTCGCGAAGTTTCAGCTGAAAGGAAATGCTGAGTGCATTACCTTTGCGTTCAGGGACCAAGTGAAGTGCAGAGACAGAAGATATGCAGTTGGATGCGGGCTAGGTTCACGGAAACTCCTTCCAAAAGGGGAAGGACCATACACAATCACAAAACGACGGGGTCAAGTATACACCATCCGAAGAGGTGACAAAAAGAAACAAGTTAACGCCAGT